GCGCCTTGCCCTTGGAGGAGTCGGCTTGCCACGCCCATGGGTTTGCAGAAAAATGTAGGCATACAGCGTACATGTAGTTCCTTTCTTTGCGTTGCTTGCTTGTTTTTGCTGGTTTTTGCTTGTTTGCCTTGTTTGCCTTGTTTGCCTTGTTTGCCTTGTTTGCCTTGTTTGCCTTGTTTGCCTTGTTTGCCTTGTTTGCCTTGTTTGCCTTGTTTGCCTTGTTTGCCTTGTTTGCCTTGTTTGCCTTGTTTGCCTTGTTTGCCTTGTTTGCTTGCTCTGCTTTGTTTGCTTGCTCTGCTTTGTTTGCTTTGTTTAGTTTGTTGACCGATGGATGGACGGGTTGCTGGAATAGTGGATTGATTGATGGATGAATGGATTGATTGAGTCACTGATTTCAGGAATGATTGGATTGGATTGGATTGGATTGGATTGATTGATTTGATTGATTTGAATTGATAGATTGATTGATTGATTTGATTGGATTTGACTTGACTTGATTTGATTGGATTTGATTGAATTGAACTGGTTTGATTTGATCTGATTTGATTTGATTTGATTGAATTGATTTGATTTGATTTGATTGAATTGAATTGATTTGATTTGATTGATTGATTTGATTTGATTTACCTTGATTTTGTGATTCAGCCATGTAAGGCTGCCTGCGAAAGTTTGCCATTGTGTTTATGCTGTGTGTCTCGAGGTTGCACAGCTAGCATAGTCTCACGACAGAGCTTGCAGAGCGTTCTTGGGCACCAATGGCTGCGGATCCGTGGTGAAGTGTCAAAAGAGCTGCTGCATCGTGCACTTCGACATGGCCGACACGAATTCAATGTGCTAGGTCAGTTGCCACCAGTAAGATGGCTGATCAACGGGTTGCTTGTGCAAGCTTAGTTGAGGATTCTACGGAATCACAGGTTAAGAGCCTTGAGGTACCTACTGCTGAGCAACACAACAGGCAGGCTTCATTGCGCAAGCGGCCCAAGCTCTATAACAGTGACGCAGCAGGCAAAAGCGAGACGCACGGTTGAGCACGCTGCTGCGGTTCTCCGGAACTGGAGGGTCCGTGCATCTGGCTTCTCGCGCCGGAACGGTGGCCATTTCGTTGTCAAGAGCAATTCGGACGAGTACAAGCTGGCTGCATTTGCAGCTGCTGCTGGTGCGGGGGGTTGTGGCGCCCCTGGCTTGACAGATTCCCTACATCCAGCCCTACCCACAGCGCCGAAGACAGCCAACACAGGCAAACATGATGATGCGCAAATGTGTTCTCAGGATCTTATTATCGGGCCAATAGCCAGCGCGTACAACCATGGCATGGAGCATATTTACATCAACGTATGTCGGATAAACCACGACATTTCCGTCAGCGACTTGAGGCCGTGCCCCAGCCACCTTGCATGCTTACGCAACAACCTCAGAGCTTTGCGGCTTGAGGTGCGGGAAGTCAGCGCAAACCTGCACTCACGCTACCCACGCGCAGATGCCGGGAAGCGGGGCTGCTGGCGGCCCGCAGCTCTTCATCGCCAGCGCGGCCTGCCCTGCAGAACTGCGACCACGCGCCCGTTGGCACCCCCGCTTCCCCTGCAAGCGCGTGTTCGGCAGGGTCAGGTGAGCAGGCTCTTGCCCCAATCTCCCAGTTTGCTGTTGAGATGTGGCGGCCAAACGCGCCGGTGGAGGCAACCTGCTCATTTCAGGCTGAACGTGCTTTCTACCCAAGAGGCTCTGTCGTGAGACTATGCTTGCTGGAATGGATAGATAGGGATCCGTCGTGAAGTGTGAAAAGAGTTGCTGCATCGTGAACTTCGACATGCCCGACGCAAACGAAATCAGTCTGAGATTGAAAAGTGCTCATTTGACATACAAACATCGGGCACTTGTTCTTTGCTCGGGCAGAAGTTGACGAATCGGGCGCAAACTGAGTGTTCGAGCCGAAGAAAAGCAGGCCAACAAAAAAGGTATCAATGGAAGGCCCAGGTCAAGTCTACTTTGAAGGGGGTCTCCAAGTTCTCCTCCCGGCCATTCCGTGTTTCCACTGGTGCATCTGGCGTGAATTGTGAACAGCCAATTTTGATTTTGTTTGAGATCGAGGCAGTCTGTGGACAGCGTGCCGCCCTATGTTGCAGCTGCGCGGGGCGATGGCTTGCAGCCTGACTCCGAGAGCGACAGGGCTGTGATCCATGGGGTGCAGAGCGTCGTAGAGACATGGCGGTGCACGCAACTTGTCTGAGTTCCATCAAGTTGGGTAGACGATTTGAATACCAGGTTTAGGTTTTGATTATGACTCAAGTGACACTGCCGCCCCTGGTTTTTTGGGCCAGCCTTTGTAGGGTTCATGCCAGGCGGTGTCCAGCCGGTTTTGAGTGGTAGCTGAGGCCAGTCGAAGTGGCTGTACTACCTTAAAGCACAAGGTCACAAAACTCCTACATCAGATGAAGATGCAGATCGGCAGCGGGGAGCTCCTAAGGCAGGCATGCCGGCAGGTGACCAGCTTCTTATCCGGCTTTGGCACAGAAGCAGCCATCCCCGCTGTGGCTGGCCTGACTGTGTGTGAGTGTGTGCAGTGCAGCGCAGGTCTGTCGCGGTTTGTCCCATGATTGCTGCCGCTGCGTGCGAGGTTGAAGGCATTGATGCTTCTCTCAGGAGACCGACCTTCTGACACAAACTGAACGGCAGCATGCGGCGGCTGAGCCTCCTCAACCTGGAAACGTGGAATCTGATGAGATCGTGGAATCTGATGCGTGGCGGGCAACAACCTGGCAGAGGCTGTTTCCACTGGCGCTTGCAATGCCGGGAGCAACTCGACTTCACGGGCGGTCGACTGAGGTTGAGGGTTGACTTGTGACTGCTTGTTGGATATCGCATGTTTGTCAACTTGCTTGTCTTATCAGCCGACCGGTTTGATTCATTGTTTGCTTGGTTGGTTGATTGTGTTGATTTGATTTGAGCTGAAATCTCGTGATTTGGTTTGATTTTTGTTGCTTTTGATTTGCGTTGCTGTTAATTTGGATTTGATTTGTTTTGATTTGATTTTGATTTTGATTTTGATTTTGATTTTGATTTGAACTCGAACTCGAACTCGAACTCGAACTCGAACTCGAACTCGAACTTGAACTTGAACTCGAACTCGAACTCGAACTGGGCTGAGTAGACACGATTTGATTGACTGATATGTTGATTTGATTGATCGATCGATTGATTGATTTGATTGAATGATCGGCTGACTGGCTGACTGGATCGAAGATGCTCTTGAGGCGCCCCGAAGGCTTGGACAAAGAGATTGACCGACTGATTTTTGAAGAAACGCAGCTTGGCAAGACTTGCCCAACATGAGGCACTTGGCCCACAACGCTTCCGCAGATTGCATGGGCGTGGTGCCTCACTTTGGCAAGTGGTTCTTGTGGCTGAAGCGCCTCGAACCGCTGCTGTCGCACCAGTGGTTGCCTGATGTAGCATTAGCCTGACTGGGCCCCGGGCTGCCTGGGTTACTGGCCGAAAATGTTATCGTGCGTCGTGCGTCATGATTTTACAGACAACTTGACCATTCCCAGCCCTTCCAAAGCACGTGGTAAACCAGGGCTTTCACACAAAGAGCCTGCGTTACTGTTGAAAGACCCAAATTCACTTTTTTGTGTGTCTTCTCTTTTCTCATGTTCAACATCGAATTTTCAAAGCACGCAACCATAATTGCAGCCACGCCTTTCCGAAAACGAGCTCTTGCAAAGCGATGGGTTTTTCAAGTGCGTTCACGGGCTTTTCACGGTTTTTCACGGGCTTTTCACGGTCGTCTCACGTTGTGTTCACGCTACGCTTGGTTGAAGCAATTCTGCTGCTGCCCCCCGTGCTCGTATTTACACTGGCAAAGTTATCCAGTCCTGGGATTTGTCACATGTTCTCAGTGTCACACTTGAACACCTCAGATTTGAAACCATTCTGCCAATGCAGTGTCCAGGAGTGTGCACTGTGAACTTTAAGTGTCATTTGGTTGATCTCCGGGCGAAAAGGCGGCTTGCGCAGGAGCCAGAGCAGTCAACGGAGTTCCGGGGGCTTGAGACACCGCGTTGACATGAGCAGGCGGCTGGCAATGATGTTCGTGATGGGCATAACATGCCACACGGCGACGGGGGACATCGCGGCTCGGAGCCGGGGCAGCGACTCAGTGGCAGTGGCAGCAATGATGAGAATAGCGATGATCGTGGTTGTCCCCATGACGATGCACGTCACAATGATAGTGACGACGATGAGGCCTCTGAGGACCTCAGCCGCAGCAGCAACATTTCTTCAGACGCGGATGTCGAGGCTGCGCATTCCGGCGCTATTGCCCGGCCTCACTCACTTCGGCCTCCGTGCGATCGTAGAAATGATGGCTCAGAGTCAGAGAGAGGCAGATGCGGCGGCAGCGGCAGAGGTGTGTGAAATTGTTGGTCGTGCCAGTGGTAGTGGCACCCCTCCGGCTTCAGTTCCACGACCCGTGCCGCGTCCCCCGCCTTCCCCACTCCCTGATGGGCCACCAAAGAAACGGAACCGGCGCTGAGGGACCACTGACACTGAGGGGTAGACTTCATGGTAGTTCTCACAGTTCTCACTCACACACTTCTCGGGTGGTTGCGGCTGTGGGAGGGTAGGATTTTGTTGTACGTTGCAGTTGCAGCCACTTGTGGCAAGGAAGCAACCCGTTGCAATTGCTATTGCTGCCAGAGTGCCATGTGCTTTGAAATGCGAGTCTCTTTGCCTCTGCCCCGTAGCAGCCGTAGCCTAGCCCTGTCCTTTTGTAGCTTGCTCCAGGAAAACGTGCGTGGGGGGCGCAAAGCCCAATCTTTGTGCTCGTTGATCGCATTATTGACCATTTTCCTTCGGTTTTTGCCAAGTTTTGCAAGGCCAGCCTCAACAGTGAAGTAGCGGCGGGGTGCCTTTCTGAGTCGTTCCACGGCATGCGGGTGTTACAAGGGATCTTATAATGTTGCTATAATTATAAGCAGGAGGTCAGGAGGAGGACCATACTCCAA